CTGAGTTTCAGAGTTTCTGGTCCAAAAGGAACGAGCTGTCCCTTTCTCAGGGTTGTCTGCTTTGGGGAAACAGAGTTGTCATTCCCACCTCAATGAGGACTAGGGTCTTAGAATCCCTCCACGAGGGTCATCCTGGCATTGTTCGTATGAAGGCTCTTGCGCGCAGCCACTTATGGTGGCCTGGTTTAGATAAAGATATTGAGGCTAAGGTGCATGCATGCCACCTGTGCCAACGATCTCGCCCAGAGATGCCCCAAGCTACCGTGCATAGATGGGAGGAAACACAGTCCCCATGGTCTAGGGTGCACATTGACTACGCTGGACCCTTTCAGGGCCAGTTCTTCTTGGTCCTTGTTGACAGCCATTCGAAATGGCTTGAGGTTGTACCTGTCTCATCCACCACCACTGCAAAGACTATTCAGGTACTGAGGGGGATTTTTGCTGCACACGGGCTGCCAGATGTCATTGTGTCCGACAACGGCCCTCAATTCACTTCCTCCGAATTCCAAGCTTTCTTACAGGCAAACATGATTCGTCATGCCACGTCTGCACCCTTCCACCCGTCCACCAACGGTATGGCTGAACGTATGGTGCGCATCACAAAGGACGCATTGAAAAGACTCACCTACGGGGACTGGCATCACAGGTTGGCTGACTTTCTCCTTTCTTATCGCACCACACCGTCCACTTCTACAGGGAGAAGCCCACCTGAACTTCGTTGGTGGCGTCAACTTACTACTAAACTTGACCAGTTGCATCCGGACAGACTGCCTTCATCTACTTCACATCCTAGGGCACCTAGACAACTACTTGTGGGTGCCCCGGTTTGGGCTCGCAATTACGGGCCTGGTCATACATGGGTCCCCGCTTCTATTTCCAGGGTCACAGGTCCTCTCTCCTACGAGGTAGCCCTGGACAACGGTCGTGTCCTGCGTCGGCACATCGACCAACTCCGCCCTAGGCGGGACTTTTCAGATGAGACTCCTGGGTCTTTTCCAGGGGGGGAGGGGGACCCTTTGGAGCAAAGGGAAGGGCACGAGCTGCTGCCCATCTCCACTGATGGAGCCACAAACGGCCCATCCCAGGGTTCCGCGAGAGCTCCGAACAAGAATTCTATGAGCCTACCTAACTACCAGGCATCCACGCCTACTCCAGCCAGGGAGTCACCCCGGGGGCATACTCACTTTCCACACACATCACACAGCACTCCAGTCACGGAGGATACCCGGGGGCATCCCAACAAATCATTCCCCGCAAGAGAGCTGGCACACAATCCCCAAGGTTGGCCTGACCTTACCCCAAATCCTACAGGGGGTCAAACATACAGGGAGGTGGTCGAGGAACCAAGTCCCGACTACAACACCTCTAGCCCAAATCAGGGAGTAACTGAGTTTTGGGAAAGTACAGAAACCCACACAAGCCCGGACACAGAACGGGGTTCAGGGAATGGACAGCCTCCTGACAGGTCTTGGACGGACCTAGGAGGTTCAACAGAGACGCCCAGCAGTGGCTATCACTTCAAGGGGCCCGAGGGTCTACAGCTAGGCAGGTCAACCAGGTCACAAAGTGACAGAAGCCCTGGCCTGACGAGCCCGGTGGGCGAGCAAGCAGGCCAGGCAGCGGGGCACAGTCCTTGGAAGGCACCAAGGCAAAATAAGGAGAACAGGCTCACATCTCCCTCCAGTCAGGGAACTCATGCTAGTAACCCAGAGCTGAGAAGGTCACAGAGAGCAAAGAAGTCTCCTAAATACTTAGAGGATTACATAACATTGCTGGCTAAACAAAAGCCAGGTAACGATAGGAGCACTGAGAAGCAGAACACTGCATAAAATAAATGATTATATGTTGGTAGTAGTTTTAGCCCGGGGGAAAGGGGTGTTATGTCCCGAGCCTTGCAAACGGCTCGGGCGTTTGCAGGCAGTCCCGGGCAGGTGCAAAGCTGCCCGGGACCAGACAGGCTGTCGCCAGCGCCGTGCGCATGCGCGGGTGCTGGCGCGGGAAAAGTATCGCATTTACCCGGGAAATGTCTATATAAGAAGTTGGGAGGTTTTGGGAGCTGCAGAAGCCATCTACTTGTAAGCTGAACGCAGAATAAAGAAAACTGAGAACTTCAACTGCTTCTCGTGTCTGCTTTCCGCCAAGGACTCAACAAATATTTTCCTGTATCAGATGCAGTTTTTTTAAAATCAATCCAAAGAAAAGGTAACCACCTCTTTACATTTAGCCCTCACCCCTTCCTTGAATGTTATTTCTATACAATCAAATGTTTGTAATATCCCCTGCTGTCAAGAGAAATAGACTTTAAGAAACATGTACAAGTAGTCCTCAACTTACAACCGCAATTGAGCCCAAAATTTCTGTTAAGTGTCACATTTGTTAAATGAGTTTTGCCCAATTTTATGATCTTTCCTGCCATAGTTCTTAAGTGACTCACTGCAGTTGATAAATTTGTAACCTGGTTGTTAAATGAATGTGGCTTCCCCATTGACTTTGCTAGTCAGGTCGCAAAAGGTGATCCCATGACCTTGGGGCACATCGATGGTTGTGTGAAACCAGTTGCCAAACATCAGAATTTTGATCACATGATCATGGGGAGGCTGCCAAGGTCCTAACAGTCGTTAAGTCCCTTTATTTCAGTACTGTTGTAATTCTGGATGGTCACTAAATGAACTGTTGTAAGTGGAGGACTGCTTGTATTCCTCTTCCCCTTGCCTCAGAGACATCATTCCATTACCTCGAGAGGGCTTAAGATTCTGCCTCATCTACACAAATAAGGACTTTAGGCAGGCATCATCAGGAAGTATTCTTTTGGGTATGCAACTTTATTAACATACAGTTGATAAAACTTTATAGCAGGGGTGTCAAACTCAATTTCATTGAGGGCCGCATCAGCATTGCAGTTGCCCTTGGGGGGCCGGGTGGGTGTGACCAGGGTGGTGCGGCCTACTGGGTAGGTGTGGATGGAGTGGGTGTGGCCTACTGGGTGGGCATGGCCAGCTCTACATCGTTCGCGTCAAGGGTGCCTGTAGGGGCCTGGGCAGGAGTGGGACAGATCTGAGGGTCTCTGGCAGAAGAGGGTGGGACCGGGGCGAGCGCCAAGGAATGGTCCATTTCTTCATTCCTCACAAAGGGTGACACTTCCCCAGCATGCACCCAGGGGGTGGGGCTGATGCAGCAGGGGCTGGTTCCTTGCTGTTTCCAGACGGCCTTGTGGAGCTAAGACTGAGTGTGTTTCAGCATAGAGGGCCACCACAAAATTGTACATTGGCTCCCGGCCGGCCTGGGCCAGGGCCAAGGCAGCGGGGGCCGTTCCCTCACTGTTTCCAGGATGGCTTCACGGGCCGCATGAAACCACTTCGTGGGCCGCATTTGGCCCCCGGGCCTTGTGTTTGACATGTCTGCTTTATAGGATTGAGAACGAATTCCAGTCTGAACTGAGGCCGCTACCCATATTCTTGGAGGAACACAAAAATTACTGGATCCAGCCCCTGTACAAGGGAAGGAACGTTTTGTTCAAAGTTATCAAATGATTTTCATGCCAGCCTTACTAACGTCTCATGTTATGCCAGCCTCAGTCTAGACCAGACACGAAACACACCCACATGAACTAACTGCACTTTACTGTAAGATTACATTAACAAAATCTTGCAAGTCTGAAAATGCTTTTCTCTCTCTTCTTCTCCCCCCCCCAATCCCATTTCCAGAGCAAACCTATTGCCTATTGCCTCACCTAAGCTGCCTTTTATCTGACCGTGGTTGTGTCTCTTCATCCTGTCTCCCAAAGTCATTCCCTCCTTATACAGTAGGAGGTAGATAATTTTTTTTCCAGAGATTACACTTAATTGTTTTGATTAACAAGGCCAGAGAACATTTTAACTAGAAACATCTGGTTGGTGAGACCAAGTTCAAGTTTTTTTTTCTTAATGGGAGAAAGCAGAATATACATAAAAATTGTGTTAAAGAGTTTTCTATAGGATTGCTCCTCCTAATATCAGCAAAGATCACCATTCTACAACCACGACAAAGGAGGCTACAAAATGGGCCTGGATGGTCAGTTTGGCCTACAGCAGTGGTTCTCAACCTGTGGTCTGTGGATCCCAGGGGTTCCGCCATCACAGGGGCTCCACAAAGGCTTGAAAAAATGTTATCTAAATCCTGAGTTAAATCTTGGGGGTCCGTGGCCACAAAGGGTATTTAAAGGGGGTCCGTGGTGAAGAAAAGGTTGAGAACCAATGGCCTCTCTAGGATGTCCATTCCTACAAGAATCAATCCCGGTTGATTGTCACATGCAACCTGAATGTAAACATTTTCATCTGAACTGCAACAACTTCCTTCTCATTACAGGACACAATTTGGTATACAGATAGTCCTCAACGTACAACCACAATTGAGCCCAAACTTTCCACTGCTAAGCAAGGGAATTGTTAAGTGAGTCATGCCCTATTTTATGACCTTTTCGCCATGGTTGTTAACCGAATTACTACTGTGTTAAGTGAATCAGGCAGTTGTTAAGTAAATCTGGCTTCCTCATTGACCTTGCGTGTCATAAATTCTTAGGAAGGTTATAAATGTCAATTCCAAGACCCTGAGACACTGCAACCATTGTACATACAGGCCAGTTGCCACGCACCTGAACTTAGATTATGTGACTGTGAGGCTGCTACAACAATCGTTAAGTGTGAAAATGCCATTGTATTTTTGAATGGCCATTAATCAAATGGTTGTAAATTCAGGATTATCCATATTCTGAAAGACAGAGTTTCATGTTATCTTAAAAATTAAGCAAGACTTTTTAATTAATCTGGTATTCTATATCAGGAAATGTTTAATATTTTTATATGTCTTTATTAATACTTTAAATATTTTTTTAAGTTGAGTTTGTGTTTATCGTAATCTGAACGCACATCATTTAACTTAATCTGATATCAATATGAAAAGCTTCTTTTAATACCCAGAAGAGCCATTTGTATTCCTGCTTTACACAGCACAGAAAACAGGAATTGTATGACATATTAAAAACAGTAATGATTTATTTTTTTTTAATTTTTAAAACAGTGACGTAAAAAGATACCATGTGAATTATCAATCAGTACTTAAAACTATATGTTTGGGTTCGTCTACTGAGACCATCATTCCAGTTTATGAATATACTTTATTATAATAAGCTGTCATTACATTTAGGAATTGGCTCGTCGTTCTCTGTTGAATGGCATTTTCTGTTCTTCTTGCCAATGTCTATAAGGAGAACCGGGAAAAAATTTTTTCCTTCAAAGAATATAAATCAATCTGCAATTATTCCTTGAAAACTGAAATTACTTTATTTAATTATAATATCATTAGTATTGTCTTCTTAGTGATATCAAGCACATTAGTAACAACACACAATCCAAAATTAATGCTATAGAATGACAACATTAGGGGATATACGCCCCAATCCAAGATTCCATGTACTTTTGGTTACACAGATGTATTATTTGTGGCCAAGAATGTTCCTGTTACTTTAATTCATGGATTTTCTTCAGTATTTAAATTTCTCTTTTTTAAATAAAATATCCCCAAACATAGGCAAGTTATGCCCCAAATAGCTCTGGAGTTAAATGTTTTAGTGATTAGTGCAGATTGCTGGTTGAGGATAATGTCAAGATGGTATAAAGCTCCTGTCAGTTAAGGAACGTACTGTTTCTGATAACTTGTTATTACTTTGTGACAAGAACTACAACATGATTAATTTCCTTGCAATAAAGTTCATTCTTACCTAATTAGTTTTGTATTTTAAACTGCATCATTTTGTCTTTAAAAGCTGGAACTCAGGTGTGTCAATTCCTCAAACTTTACTTCAGAACTTCAAAAAAAGGAACAACATTGCTAAATGACTCTAAGACAGACATGATATCACATTATTTATACTATCATAATTTAATGTATATAAATTTGTTTTTTAATATAAAACATTTTTTAAAATGCAATGGTACTTCATTTTAGAGACAAAATTTAAAAGACGCCTTTTATTGTTAATGATGTAACATTTGTGCTCAGGTTAAAGGGCATTATTAAACTGAGCATAATTTATTAATACATACATACACACATTTTATAAAATTACTGGTATGAAAACAACCTCAATAATAGATATAAGTCATGATTAAAGGACTTTTCATCTTCCATATTTATTTGCTTTGTGATCAATAGCAACTACAGACTGCCTGTAGCTCATCTAACTGAAAATGAATAACCTTGAAAAAGAGATAACAATAACAAACCACACTATTACCTCCAATTCAAATGTTTAGTCTTAATTTTCAGGGCAAACCTATTAGAATTATTAAAAACCAACCCAGCCTATGTATGACAGCAGAATGTTGCAAAGTTTGATTACACACTAAGTGCTCCCACACAATTTCTTGTTGTTTCAATAATCCTAGTATTAATGATTTAACATTTTAGAGGTAGAATTCAAGTCAACGCTGACAGTGAGTCCAAACATGGAAACATCGCATTATTGTTCTGCTTTTAAAGTAACTGATTAATCCTTGAAGCCCACATTTCTAAGAAGAAAGAAAATGGAATGATTATATTGAAAACATGCCCATTAAGAATGAATAATTTTAGAATATTGTGTTTTTTTAGAATGTACAGTAGTGGCCAAAATTGTGGAAACCTTTTGGGAAAAGTGTACAGTAGAAATGCCACCTTTGGTTAAGTTTCCACCAATTTTTTTTTCTAATTTCTTTATAACTGTAGCCTTGTTCACTTAATAATACTATTTTACATCGCTTTCTGGGCAACCAGTCAACTCTTTGCACCATTACTTTAATTTTATTACGTTTTACAAGCTCGCTAAATGAAAGAACACAAAAATACCCAACCAACTTGATACTGATGACATAACACACTGACAAACGTCCTCCTCTCAGCTTCAATACATGACATCAATAACTGAATCCTACTGTGATCTGATTGGCTCATTGCCAAAACAAGGTGACACCTGATTGGCTCTCTAAACATTCACGCTCATTGGCTACAATCAGATGAAAGAAAGCTACCCGAGATCAATCTAAGCAAGTTGTGCTTCCTTTTTCTGGTTATTTGGCTATAACTTTTCATAGACTACAGTACAGATAATTGAACAAACGTTATTGCATTACATTCTTGATTAAATTATTTTTCCATTGATATATAATTGTATGGTACTACTCCCCCCAAAAAAATGGTGTTATTAGCCATCGAACCTCAAAAATACACTTTTCCCAAAAAGTTTCCACAATTTTGGCCACCACTGTATACTTTGTGCCTCAAGTTAGATCATATCATAACTAGGCCTATCTTCAAAATCCAATACTCACATAATTTTAATTACACAAAGCACCCAACAATAGGTATTACTTATCTACCTGCCCTCATCTCTCCCACATTAAAGAAGGTAAAGATAACACTCAGAGCTAACTTTCTAAAAGTACTTTGTCTCTGGGAGAAATCCAAAATACAGATCCAATCTCATGTTTTAATTTTGAAATATTATGCCAATTAATCGTATGCCCCAAAAGTAAACAAACACCTAGCGGCTTAATTACTTACTTTTCTGTCCGTTCTGTTGTTACTGAAAATGCTCTCTCTGGAGAATGCGATGGAGATCTCAAAGTTGAGCTAAGTGGCGATGAGGTAGGTAAAGAAGTGGTAGAAAACCCGAGTCGTCGCATCTCTTGGATGGCACGTTCCCTATTAAGTAGAAAATTACAACTGAACTCTGGTTGCCCTTCCAAATATTTTCTCACACGGAAAACAAGAATGGCCACCCTTTCCCCACACAGCAAACTGGAATCCTTTAAAAAAATATTCTCTTCTTTACTAGCTGCGAGAAAGTGTTTTGTTTTTCTTAACGTTCAATCAGAATTTGCTTTCCAGGAACTTTAGATAATACAGGTAGTCCTTGACTTAAAACCATTCTTTCAACCACCAGGAGAGGTTACAATAGCCCTGAAAAATGTGACCGTTGACCCATTTTTCTCACTTGTGACCGCTGCAGCACCCCCATGGTCTTGTGATCAAAATTTGGATGGTTCACATTTGTAACGGTTGCTGTGTCCAGGGGGTGTGTGTCTCGTGATGACCTTTTGCGACCTTCTGGCAAGCAAAGTCAATGGGGAAGTTAGATTCACTTAACAACCGCGCTACTAACTTAACAACTGCAGTGATTCACTTAACGACTGTGTCAAGAAAGGTCGTAAAATGAGACAAAATTCACTTAACCACTGTCTTTGCTTAGCAGTGGAAATTTTGGATTTAATTGTGGTCGTACGTTTTAGGCGGTACAAAAATTAGTTGAAGAGAGCTTAGTAAGGATAGGTCTGACTTCAAAAGTGATTTTTTTTTTTTTCCTGGCTAGGACAATAGGATTGGTATAAAGGTGTTGTAAGCTGAAAACTGGTTAAACTTTAGGTTTCCTATATTCATTGCTGGGCTGTAGCGTGTGCATAGTCTTGTGCATAAATGCTACCTCTGTCTTTCTCCTTCCTAGTGACCCTGAAAAATATCAAATGAAAGGAGGAGGAAACAACAAAGAACGGATCCTCAGCAGATAGCAGTAAAAGTGCCCTCCTACCAGCCCGTTAATCAGCTACTTGTTGGTTTCCTGATGCTGTTTGCACTGGCAAACTATCTGCTTAGTGGGAGGAAGCCTTGTTCAATCTAAGCAATGTATGATTGACCCCAGCTTTGTTCCCACTTTAAGAGGTTTTTTTTTTTTGAAAAAAAGTATCAATTTCCACCGATGCTTAACTGAAAGGACTTGTGGTACTTACTGATAGACATTTTGAAAATGTATTTTACTGCAGTTAGTTTATTTTAAATAGTAATATTCAATATAATGGATTTTGAACATGCCCCTTGTTTGCTTTGTAAGTTGTAAATCATAATCGTATGGAAAGAAGGGTAAGAAATAGATTGTATAACTAAGAAACCATACCGAAAATTAATTATTAAACCAGTTTTAGCATTTTCGGTGCAACACTATAAAGCCTGCTTTTATAGTTTCCTCCTTAAATGGGATTCAGAATAGTTGCCTTTTTAATAAAGCTAATTCACATACCGTTCAAATTGCTCTGTTGTCAGCTGTCTTTTCACAATATCATAATCAGTCTGCAGCTGTGCAAGTTTATTTCGCAGTATAGAAACTTCTCTGCTGAGACTTGTTCTAAAAATATTGCAAAACAAAGAGAAAAATATCTACTACACATTCACAGATGTCATTGTACAAGAACTTTTAAAATAGCTGCAAACAAATAAACGGAGACCTAGAAATTAAGAAAAAATACCCACACTTGTGCATACACATGCAAAAAGGTCTTAAAGAAACCTCCAATTTATCACAAAACAGTCTACTTAAAATATGTATATTTGGAAATGCATTCGCCTGAAACTTAAAGCAATGCATGCATTTGACACATTGCTGACAGAATTTCTTCTGTATTGCAAGTGGCTATAATGAACAATATACCTTATTTTCCGGCATATAAGGCAACCCGGCGTATAAGACGACCCCCGACTTCAGCGCTGAGTTTCATGCCTAGAAAGACGTCTTATACGCCGGAAACTACCATTATTTCTAGCGTATAAGACGACTCGGTGTATAAGACGACCCCTGACTTCGGCGCCAATTTCAACGCTTTCAAAAGTCGTCTTATATGCTGGAAAGTACGGTACTTGCATATGAATAGGCAATACTACATGCATTTGTAGTGACGATCGTAATAAAAACAGTGTTTTTTGAACCTGGCAACTTTACGTTTTATGGGCCTCAACTCCCAGAATTCCCAAGTCCTCCTGACTAAGGAATTCTGGGAGTTCAAGTCCACACATCTTCAAGCTGCTAAGTTTCAAAAGCACTGATCTAAATTGTTTTTCACCGCTGAAGAACACAGATTGCACATGTTGCTTTTAGCATATTCTGCTTTATATCTTATACTTTGCATAGCAAAGTGTACCGTGCAAGGTAAGAAAATAACCGTACTTTCGTGAAAGAAATTAAAGATGAGTAATTTCTAGGAGCATTGCTCCTAGAAGCACGAAGCCGAAAACACCAGCCTAAAGATGATGAATGCTCCTAGAAGCACGAAGCCGAAAACACCAGCCTGAAGATGACGAATGCTCCTAGAAGCACGAAGCCGAAAACACCATCCTGAAGATGATGAATGCTCCTAGAAGCACGAAGCTGAAAACACCATCCTGAAGATGACGAATGGGACTTTGTCGAAACGTCGCCAAGACACTTCCAATTTGACGCGGGAGAAAACCCGAATAACCAAAGACCTACATACAAACACCTGCGAAAACCTCAGAAAACACACACACACACACACACACACACATATATATTCAAAAATGGAGACACTAAATTACAAACAGCTGAAAGAAAATATTATGAAACTGGTCATTTTATACTTTTCAACATACAATTTACTTTCTGAGAGAGTTAATTTGTCTTTGAGCAATTGTATCTCTGAATCCTTTTCATGGGTTATTAAATGATTCTGAAAATCGTTGTCTCTGCTGGTAGCCAAGAGTGTTTCCAAGTTTTGTATTGTAAGCCGCTCACTTGACAATTGCTTTTTTAATAGCTCTGCTTCTGCCTTTGCATCTTCATATTCAGACACAATCTAGAACATAAAAAAGAATTTCTTTAGTAAAAAACCTCACAGTAAGTAAACCCATAGTTCCTGTCCACCTCTCCATTAAACCCTTCTTTACTCCACATCCTTCTCATCTCTCCCAGGGAGGCTTTTCAAGCCACAGTCACTGCAAGACGAATTTTTAATCTTAGAATATATATCTATTTTACTGTCAACATTTTACCTTAAATAAAAAAAATGATTTATATCCTGTAAGAATAACATTTTTCTCTTTTACCCTCTCAAACTCCATAGATTTGGATGTTAATTGGCGTGAGACTAGATCTTTGCTAGATTCCAGTTTGACACATAGATCTCTAACGGCAGATACATCCTGATTTATTGAAGATTTTTCTTCTTTTTCACGTCTGAGCATTTCTTCCAGCTTGGCCATATTTTTTGCCATTGAAGAGATTTGAGATTCGTAAGTTTGATGTGCAATGATGTGCTGCATGAAAGACAAAAGTAACTCTTTTTAGAAGCCTGGATGAGGTGCTCCTATTACATTTTCCTCTTTGCACTGAGTTATTGGGAAACAAACAAAATAATATATCAACTTGAAGTATTTTTCTGTTTCAAAATACATTTACAACCATTTGCAAGACTTAACAAGTACTGGGCAAGAGCAGGCATAAATCTAAAATTAGTTATCCCCCTGAGAACATACAGATGATTAATGCCATCTGCTCCTTGTACAAATTTTCAATTAATCTCCAGGTATTTGATTAAGAAAAGCACATTAAAATGGTCTGGGTAGCTATAATTTTATAATTACCTCTTGGATTTCTTTTTCCAGTAATTCTACTCTTTCTTTAAGGTGTCTTCGTTCAGTATCAACTGAAAGGAGCTCTAATCGTACTGAGCTGTTTTGTCCCTCAGCTTGATGGGCCTTTACTTCCCAATCTTCGGCTTGGCTATGAAGCATCTGGAACTTCTCCAATAATTCTTTATTTTCTCTTTCCTAATATTAAGAGAAAATGCATTCACTGAGCAATAAGTCACTGAAATGTCTCAGCTACTATTTGGCCTCTCTTCTGTTTAGAAATTGTCAACAACTTGTTCCACTGAAGAAACCTGAATATATGTTATTTTCCATATGAGCCAACCCAGTACTTCAAGATTAAATTATCATACTGTTGCAGTTAAGACTTTAAAAGATTTGAGGCAGATGTTACAGTAATTGATCATTACACATAAGAATGTAATACCTTAATTTGCCACACTGATTTTACAATAAATAATTTGGTTTTTTTGTTGTCTAGCTCAGGGGTAGGTAACCTTGGCTCTTTTATGACTCGTGGACTTCAACTCCCAGAATTCCTGAGCCAGCATGGCTGGCTCAGGAATTCTGAGAGTTGAAGTCCACGAGTCATAAAAGAGCCAAGGTTGCCTACCCCTGGTCCAGCTAGATGTATGTATAAAAAAGCAGCCTGGCAACCAAATGTGAGTTAGTCCGCTCTATTTGTCCCCCTGTGGTTGAAAGCTGGACCTTAAAAAAGCAAGACAGGAAGAAAATTGACTCATCTAAGCTGTGGTACTGGAGAAGGCTCCTGCATATTCCTTGGAGAGCAAAGGTGACTAACAAGCAAGTACTGGAGTACATAATGCTGGACATGTCACTGGGAGGCAAAATCACAAAACAGTGTTTCACTTATTTTGGCCCTGTCATTGGGGGAATTCACTGAGAAAGCAATTAAGTTTGAAAGGAAACAAAGAACATGGTGGCTGGACACCATCAAAGCTGACACCAGCCAGAGCACAGAACCGCTCAAAGAAATGCAAGATCGGAAGCTGTGGAGAAATTTGGCCATAGAATCACCAAGAGTCAGACACAACTGAATGGATAACACCATCATCATCTGTATGTATATACACTAGTTACATACTGGAATTTTTAAATACAACAAACCTAGACATCTATATATGCCTAGATATACCTACTTATATGTGTATATTAATGGCTCGATCACAATTGTGCCTCTGTGACAAAGTCCCAGCTTGTTTTAAATCCGATGATAATTCTTAATAATACCCTTCCTAATTTTCATAGAAATGGTGGAAGCTTGTGGCATGTGGCTTAAATATTATAAGGCTAAGAAAGGACATTCCCTCAATGTTACTCTTTTCTCGTAAAAGAATAGATTGAAGAATTTTTCCTTGCGTGCTTAATTTTTGAATTTTGAAGAATTTTTCCTTGAGTAAAATGTATCGTTTTTCCTTGCGTAAAATGTATGAATTTTGAAGAATTTTTCCTTGCGTAAAATGTATCTTATTTAAATTTTATAAAATTTAGCTTATTTATAAAATTTAAATAAGATACATTTTATTTTTGAATTTATACAATAGTTGAAGGCTAGAAGCTGGGAGGCCATGAATTCTAGTCCTGCCTTGGACACGAAGCGGTGGGTGAGTTTGGACCAGTCACTCTAAATCACGTGAAGTATTAATACCACTTTACAATGCCTTGGTAAGGCCACACTTGGAATACTGCATCCAGTTTTGGTCACCACGATGTAAAAAAGATGTTGAGACTCTAGAAAGAGTACAGAGAAGAGAAACAAAGATGATTAGGAGACTGGAGGCTAAAACATATAAGGAACAGTTGGTGGAACTGGATATGTCTAGTTTAGTGAAGAGAAGGACGAGGGGAATCATGATAGCAGTGTTCCAATATCTCAGGGGCTGTCACAAAGAGGGAGTCAAGCTATTCTCCAAAGCGCCTGAGGGCAGGACAAGAAGCAACAGATGGAAACTAACCAAGGAGAGAAGTAACCTAGAACTAAGGAGAAACTTCCTGACAGTTAGAACAATTAACCAGTGGAACAACCTGCCTCCAGAAGCGGTGAATGCTTCAACACTGGAAGTTTTTAAGAAAAAACTGGACAGCCATTTGTCCGAAATGGTATAGGGTTACCTGCCTGAGCAGGGGGTTGGACTTGATGGCCTCCAAGGTCCCTTCCAACTTTTATTATTATTATTATTATTATGGATCATCGCACAATCAGCCAGATGTTCAGACTGGATTTGGCATTTTGTCTACCTATTGAGTCCTTACCCAGGATCTGGGATAGGCAGATGTGGATGTTTGATGGTATTACAGATATCGTTGCAGGATGGAAGCAGTTCCTAGTAAGGCCGCCTTTTGCAATTGACTAATAGCAAATTTGTCAATGCCAATGGTGTTCAAGTGGTATTATTATTATTATTATTATTATTATTATCTCCTCTCGGCCATAGGAAGAAAGCAACGGTAAACCACTTCCAAATATGTCGCCAAGGAAACTGTATGGACTTTTCCATGTGGTGGCTTGAGTTGTGTAGTGACCAATAGTGACTTGAAAGCCCCAAACCAAAATTGATTTATTAAAAAGATAATCTTCTTATATAAATAAAAATGTAAATGTTCTTTTGTTCAAAATCTTAAATCTACGAAAGTTCTTCACCGATTGCTTTGAAATTTTGATACAATGTTGCATTCGAATATGTGCGTGTTTTTATATACCTATATTATATAGATGTCACACCTGTGACAGGTAAAAACATGATTTTTTGAAAACATGTAAAAACATGCTTTTTTGGAAAAACAGCGCCATCTGTTGAACGTAATCTGTATATCTGCACACACAATGGAACAACAAAAAATATTGTATACTCACAAGCATTGTGAAATTAAACATATTACAAATGTGAGCTTTCTCTTTTCTTTCTTGAGCCACAGCAACGCGTGGCTGGGTACAGCTAGTATTTTAATAATATTTCTCACCTTTAAGGATATTAAACTTTCAAATCTGGACACTTCAGTAATGTAATTATGAACTCTAACTTTCAGTTCTTCTTTTTCACGTAACGTTACTTCCAATTCAGTCGAGATCACCTGTTTAAATTACATACTGTTAGACATATTATTCACAAAGTAAATAAGCCACACGCTGGCCAAGCAGTACACTTAAATATGATCTATTCCATATCAAAATTGAACCAACAGAGAGGCAGCTCATAACAGCATTTCTCTTGGTTATTAATTATGCAAATTAAAAGAACAAAAAAAAATCAGCATTCAGTCTTGTGACTTCCAATCTATGGGTAAGTAATTTTCCTTATGGAAAATTTGGGACAATGCCTATTTTGGCATTGATACTTGGCATTGGCAGTGCTCATATTGGTATTAATACTATAACTTTAAAAAAGTTAACTGATACCTAATTAAACATTTTAAGTGATATAATTATTCAACGTTTATACCAGTCAACATTAAACTAGAACAGTTACCACACTAGAAAAAAACACATAAATTGAATATACATTCAAGCAGGCCGTTACAGAACTTTTTCTGGAAAAATTGTGAAATATATAGCCATGAGGGATTTATCTTTATCAGTAAATACAGAGAAGAATAACTATGAGTCTCTGATGTTTTAACCATGATAGGAGAAAACATTGTCATTCAGAATAACAGTTGAAAGCATTGAAAAAAAAAATAACTGGGAAGGAGAACAGTCTGAGATAGTCTAGCTATCACAGTTAGCTAAACTAGAAATACATGTTCAAGTTGGAATGCTAGAAAAAGAGTGGTCAGAAGTGAAAGGCAAGGAAGGAAAAGAATTCACTACAGCAGGGGTCCCCAACCCTGCCCACTTTATGACTTGTGGATTCCAACTCCCAGAATTCCTCAGCCAGCCATGTGTACGATATGAATTACTTTGTACCTGGTTTTCTCTAGTCATTGTGGCTAGATCATCCTGTAATCTTCTGTTTTCCTTCAAAGCCATTTCTTTTATTCTGGCAGTTTCCCCAAGCTCTGAGTGTATTCCATCAAACTGGCGGTGGAGACTGGCAAGTTCACGGTCTTTCCCATTTAAGGTATCCTTTAATTGGCTAATAAATGAGGGATTTAGAAAATCTTAAAACATAATTTATCTTTTTTGCAATACTGTAAGTACACTATGGTCACCATTTAAAAATTATAGCAATTAATTAAAACATGCTTTTGTACTGAATAGTCCCAAAGATATTTTACGTGTTACCAAGTACAGAGCTATTTTTGTAACTGAACATGTATCCGTCATGTTTCTGTAGAACAGGGGTAGTCAACCTTGTCTCTTTTATGACTCGTGGACTTCAACTCCCAGAATTCCTGAGCCAGCTTAGCTGGCTCAGGAATTCTGGGAGTTGAAGTCCACGAGTCATAAAAGAGCCAAGGTTGACTACCCCTGCTGTGGAACAACTAAATCACCAAGCATTTGGGAAATTATACCTGAATTTTTTGCACTATGGCACAAATGGCAGCATTGGTGGAAGACAGATATGATGCTAAGTTTTAATTAGCTTTAATCTAGTTTGTAGAATAAGCTAAATCTGGTTCATAGCCAAGAAAACCATAGCATACTTCCCTATTAAAATTAGCTATTGTTGTTTCTAGCTACTCTACTCTTGACTGTGAAGCACTTTCTAAACTGCAGAGTAGCAAAGTATATTCCTTGCAGCCAAACAGTAGTATAAGGGGCAAGTAGCAAGAGAAATTTTGAGACTTTTTTTGACAAGAGGAAAATTAACATTCTCAAATATGCCTCCCATGCCTTGCATTCTTTTTAAAACTTTTAAGGAAAAAGTCCTTTCTGCTATATATGTTCTTTCAGTAAACAAATTTTCCTTATTAATTAAAATTTTATTAGGAAACAACCAGCAAATCAGATGTTAAAATACTGCAAATGCTGAAGAGATAAAGTGAGATGAATTGTAGCAAAAAAAAAAGCCCCACCGCTTAACACAGTGGTTCTCAACCTGTGGGTCGGGACCCCATTTGGGATCGAACGACCATTTCACGGGGGTCGCCAAACAACGCAGTCTGCCATTTTTCCCCCTTTTCCTTAGCTGTGCTACTCCCTTTTATTCTATGGCTTTTGAAAGCCAATAGAATAGACTCTCTTGAATAGAGTCTAATTCTATTGGCTTTCAAAAGCCAATAGGAATTGTCCAGGCTGTCTCTGCCCTGCTGAGCCCGCCAAAAGTCCCATTCTGCAAACGGTGCTGCACCAGGTGAGTAGTCCTCGACTTACGGCCGGTTGAATAGTCTTCGATTACAACCAGTTGGGGGTCACGGCATTAAAAAGATTGAGAACCACTGGCTTAACAGGATAGTTTTAGCTGACTAGGCTTTTAACTAAAACTAGCAAACACATTTGGTGAGGTTTACTACAGCTTGCTAGGATCAGATGTGTATTTAATGTCTTTTTTTTTTAATGGAAAGTAAAGGAATTTACTTTTTCTTCAAGGCTGCTTTGTATTCACATCTTTGTAGTCAGAGGATAGATAGAACAACGAAATACATTGTTGAGTAAAGGAAGATACAAAATTTAGACATATTAATAATTCATTTAACCCAAATTAAAATAACAAACCAGCCATTCCAGGTTTTCTACCTCAAACTAATGAACATAATTTGTAAGTAACTTGGTTTCATAAATAAACCAGAGTTATAATAAATAACGGCTCACCATTATGGGATAAAGCAATTACAGAGCACATTGTACATAAATGTAAGTCTGTATATAACTTACTGAGCTTATTGTATATAAAAATAAACAGAGGGCTGGGGCACAGTACTCTTTGTTCTTCCCCTCATCATCATCATCATCATCATTATCATCACCACCACCATCATTTTATCCACTGCAGGATGAACGCCTCTTCCACATGTTTCCAACCAATACGATCCCAAGCTTTCTTTTGCCAATTGGGCAAGCCATACTTGGCTGAGGTCGTCAATCCATCTTGTTCTAGGTCTTTTTCGTGGACGCTTTTTATCAAGTGGGATCCATTCTATGACTGCCTTGGTTCACCTGCCATCAGTTCTTCTTTCTATATGACCATTTCCATTCTTTTACTCTCTTGATGGCATCGTATGCTTTCGTTTGTTCTCTAATCTATGTGCGAGTCTTTCTATCTTGTCTTGTGATGCTGAGCGTGTATCTTTTTAGATTCTTTGCGCCACTCTTAGCTTTTGTATCAACTGTGTGGTTAGTGTCCATGTTTCACTGGCATATGCTAGAGCAGGTAGCACACACTGATCGAAAACTTTTCAAGCATAGGAGGAAATTATGCTTAGTTTGCCGAATGCCTGCCAACCACATTTAACACACCGTTCAATTTCTTTTATTGTATCATCTTCCACTGAGATCCATTGGCCAAGATATATGTAGTTGTCGACTACATCTAGTTCTTCTCCAGATATATATCTCTCTATATATATATCTCTATATTTGTTTTCTGTTATCTCTCTATATATCTCTATCTCTATCTCTCTCTCTCTCTCTCTCTCTCTCTCTCTCTATCTATCTATCTATGTAGGTCTTTGGTTATTTGGGTTTTCTCCCGTGTAAAATTGGATTTTACGCGGAAGAAAACCCGAATAACCAAAGACCTACATACAAACACCCGCGAAAACCTCAGAAAAGAAAAGAAAGAAGATTTCTTTCTCCCATATTTGGGCTGACAGGGTGTTCATTCAAGGTATATATATATATATATATTTGTTTTCTGAGGTTTTTCCGCGGGTATTGTATATAGGTCTTTGGTTTTCGGGTTTTCTCCCGCATAAAATTGGAAGTGTCTTGGCAACGTTTCGACGAAGTCACATTCGTCATCTTCAGGCTGGTGTTTTTAGCTTCTTGCTTGAGCAGCAATGTGTGGTTTAGCTGTTTCTTCCTTTTAACTGCCAGTGAGGGTATGAACTGATTGGGTGGGAGCTTGGCTGTGTTCTGATTGGGTGGAGGTGTGTTCTGAATGGTTATGGGCTTGGCTGTGCTCTGATTGGCTGGGGGAGTGTTCTGTTTGGTTGTGCTCAGGTTAGTCTGAGTTGCAGAGGGGTTTAAGATTTTGGGGTTAGGTAGTCGTTTGTCAATAAGGGCAGGTTTCCAAATGGCTGGTAGGCGGGAGGTATCATCTCGCTTGTTCATGCTGTGTGGGCGTTTTTCTATCTCGATGGCTTCTCTGATTATTCTGTTATTAAAATGTTCACTTTTGGCAATGGTTCTGGTATTTTTAAAGTCAATTTCATGTCCTGTGGCTTTAAGGTGTTGGACCAGGGAAGATTTTGGTTCCTCTTTTTTGACTGAGTTCTTATGTTCTTCAATGCGTGCACTTATTCTTCTGTTGGTTTGTCCGATGTATGTGGTGGGACAAGTGGTGCATGGGATTTCGTATACTCCTTGATTTTCTAATTCAATTTTATCTTTGGGGTTTCTAAGGATGGTGGATAGTTTTCTGTTTGTGCAGAATGCTGTTTTGATGTTGTGTTTATGGAGGATCTTACTGATTCTGTCTGTGATGCCTTTTATGTATGGGAGGATGGCTTTGGCCGTTTTCTTGTCTTTGTCTGGATTTGGTGGGGGTTTCTTTTTGGATTAGTTTGTATCTTATTTCTATGGAATCCATTGATGTTAGTACAATTAGGTGAAGTGTGGTATTTTCGGGTTTTAGGTGTTTGTTCGTCAGCTAAGCGTTTTGTTCTGGATGAGTGTCCTTGGCTACAGAGTTGGATCTGTGCTGGGTGGGTTGTGAGAGAGCGTGTCTGAATAGCGGTTTTGTGTGTGGTTTTCTTCTGGTAGAATGGGTGGTCCTAGGGAGCCATTGGATTTCTTTAGACCTAGCATCCAGGAAGTGGAAGTTGGTTGTTAGCTTCTGTTTCCATGGTGAACTGTATTTTGGGTGTAGGCTGCAGAACACTCCCCCAGCCAATCAGAACACAGCCAAGCCCCTAACCATTCAGAACACCCCTCCACCCAATCAGAACACAGCCAAGCTCCCACCCAATCAGTTCATACCCCCACTGGCAGTTAAAAGGAAGAAACAGCTAAGACCACACATTGCTGCTCAAGCACGAAGCTGAAAACACCAGCCTGAAGATGACGATGTGACCTTCGTCGAAACGTTGCCATAGACACTTCCATTTTACGCGGGCTAAAAAACCCAACACCAAGACCTATATACAAATACCCGCGAAAACCTCAGAAAACCAATATCGAACCTCTACGGGGAGGAAATCACCATCTGCGCCGTGACCTCTGAAAAACTGACGTCCAATAGAGCTTCCATTTTATTTACCTCGCATTCCTACCTAACGCCGAGATCAAAATCTAATCCCCACAGGTTTTCCACTGAATTCCACTCCAACTCTGCAGCCACCAAACGGATCCTGAAAAGAACATGAATTGGCCCTAATCATAATGAACTTCACCAAACGATCCTCCTAGACCGAATTAACAAAGATCTCCTCACACTCCACCTCAAACTCATCAACAAGATCCACCCCGCACTTTGGGACAAATCCAAACAACTCGCCGTCTGGAGAGCCGAAACACAGACCACCCTCAAGACAGATACACACACCAACAAACTCCGAATACTACAAGAACGCCAGAAACAAACCCCTCCTCCCTCACAGCCACACATGAAACAAACAGTGCATAACATCTCAGATAGGATCCTCACCAAAGCCGAAACCAATGTCCTTTCCAAAGGATTCACCTTTGCAGTCGCTCCCAAACACATCCCCACCAGTATATACGGAGTTGAAACCAGCCTGACCAAAATCAACCCCGACGACGCTACAAAATCAGACTCCAAAATCACACATCCTCATGCACCAGCAAGCCACCCAAAAGCCAACTTACCCAAAGAGGAACAGACAGCACTACGTAACCTTAAAGAAGACACCAGCATAATAATCCTACCAGCAGACAAGGGCAACGCCACGGTGGTTATGAACACATCTGACTACCAAACCAAATTAACCAACCTACTCCAAGAATCCACATACAAACCCCTAAATACAGATCCCACCACCTACCTGGAAAAAACCACCAGAACCAAGATAAAAGCCTCCCCCATTAGCGAAGAGATCCAGCAAAGAATCATTCCCAGAGGGAAATCATCCAGATGCCCTAAACTCTATGGTCTCCCCAAGATACACAAAGAAGGAACCCCACTCAGACCTATAGTCAGCTCCATAGGCTCACCTCTACAAAACCTAGCCAAATTTCTCGCCAAACAACTACAGCCCTATGCAGAATCCATCGCCTCACACGTAAAAAACTCATTCCCGTTTATAAGATCAATAAAGAAACAAAGCTTAACAGCCCAGCGCCCTCTAGTGGCTCGAGTCATACCCTCTTCACCCAAGTGCAGATCAAAGAAGCCTTGACAGCCATCCAAAACAAATATACCCCCCCAAACACATCCTAGATCTGACCAACCACTGCCTATCCAACACATACTTCATCTATAATGGACAAAAATACAAACAAACAGAAGGAGCACCCATGGGATCACCCCTCTCACCTGTCATTGCAAACCTCTACATGGAACACTTTGAAACCCAAGCTCTAGAAAAATCAGATCACAAACCCAAACTCTGGCTCAGATACGTAGACGACACCTTCATAATATGGCCACATGGGAAAGAAAAACTGGACAACTTCCTCACACACCTCAACCGCCTACACCCCAAAATACAGTTCACCATGGAAACAGAAGCTAACAACCAACTTCCCTTCCTGGATGTCTTAGTCTACAAGAAATCCAATGGCTCCCTAGGACACACCATCTACCAGAAGAAAACACACACAAACCGCTATCTGCACGCTCTCTCACACCACCACCCAGCACAGATCAACTCTGTAGCCAAGACACTCATCTCCAGAACAAAACGCTTAGCTTACGAACAACACCTAAAACCCGAACTACACACTCTCACCAATGTACTAACATCCAATGGATTCCATAGAACTAAGATTACAAACCTAATCCAAAAAGAAACCCCCACCAAAATCCAAGACAAAGAACAAGAAAACGGCAAAGCCCTCCTCCCATACATAAAAGGGGCACCACAGACAGAATATAAGTCCTTCATAACACAACATCAAAACAGCATTCGCACAAACCAGAAAAATATCACATCCTTAGAACCCCAAAGATAAAATTGAATTAGAAAATCAGGAGTATAAACGAAATCCCTGCTACCACTTGTCCCCCCACATCATCGGACAAACCAACAGAAGAATAGTGCACGCAGTGAGAACATAAGAACTCAGTCAAAAAAGAGGAACCAACATCTTCCCTAGTCCAACACCTTAAAGCCACAGGACATGAAAATGACTTTAAAAATACCAGAACCATTGCCAAAAGTGAACATTTTAATAACAGAATAATCAGAGAAGCCATCGAGATAGAAAAACGCCCCCACAGCATGAACAAGCGAGATGATACCTCCCGCCTACCAGCCATTTGGAAACCTGCCCTTATTGACAAACGACTCCCTAACCCCAAAATCTTAAACCCCTCTGCAACTCAGACTAACCTGACACAACCCAACAGAACCACTCTCCCATCATCATAGCACAGCCAGCCCCTAACCATTCAGAACACACCTCCACCCAATCAAACAACACAGCCAAGCTCCCATCCAATCAGTTCATACCTCGACTGGCAGTTAAAAGGAGAAACAGCTAAAACCACACTTGCTGCTCAACAGCAAGGAGCTAAAACACCAGCCTGAAGATATGACGAATGTGACCTTCGTACGAAACGTTGCCAAGACACTCCCAATTTTTACGCGGAGAAAACCCGAACAACCAAAGACCGTATTATATATATATATATATATATATATATATATATATATATTATATATGTAGGTCTTTGGTTGTTCGGGTTTTCTCCCACGTAAAATTGGAAGGGTCTTGGCGACGTTTCGACGAAGTCCCATTCGTCATCTTCAGGCTGGTGCTTTCAGCTTCGTGCCTCGAGCAGCAATGTGTGGTCTTATCTGTTTCTTCCTTTTAACTGCCAGTGGGGGTATGAACTGATTTGGTGGGAGCTTGGCTGTGTTCTGATTGGGTGGAGGTGTGTTCTGATTGGTTAGGGGCTTGGCTGTGCTCTGATTGGCTGGGGGGTTGGCTGTGCTCTGATTGGCTGGGGGGTTGGCTATGCTCTGATTGGCTGGGGGAGTGTTCTGTTTGGTTGTGCTCAGGTTAGTCTGAGTTGCAGAGGGTTTAAGATTTTGGGCTGCCTTGCTATTTTCTGGCTTCACGTTCGTGGTCATGCCTCCTCTTCATGGAGGGTGTCAGTTTGCTTCATGTATGGATTGGAGGGGTTTAAAGTGGCTAATGATGCAGCTGTGGTCTGGCTTCTGTTTGTGGTCGTGCCTCGTCATCGGTGTGGCTTTGGGTTTGTTTTTT